CGGTTGACGCCGTCACCCTGGGCTACAAGGTCATGGGGCGCGAGAAGCTCGTCGTGCCCACGGATCGCAAGCTGGAGCTGATCAGGGCCGCAGGGCTCTGGCTTCTTCGGCGCCCCCGCGTCAGCGGCAAAGCTTTGGAGCGGTTCGTGGGCCACTGTACTCACCTGTGCCTCTTGCGTCGTGAAATGTTCGCTATCTTCCATCACGTCTACTCCTTCATCTCGGCTCACGCCGTCCGCCGCTGCCGTGTCTGGCGATCGGTGTGCAGAGAGATCAGGCGGTTCCTCGCGCTGCTGCCGTTCTGCCGGGCGCGGCTCGACAGACCTTGGGGCCCCAGGGTCACCTCGTCGGACGCGTGTCTGTCTGGGTATGCCGTGTGCTCGCGGGTGCTGGGCGCCGAGGTCGTCAGGGCGCTGGGTTCCTTCAAGGAGAAGTCTAGGTACAAGGCTGGGACCCCCGCTATCAGGGCTCGTGATCATGCGCTCTTGGGCTCGGACGTTTTCAGCAGCATCAACACTGTCAAGCCGGTGGGCCCCTTCAAGACTCCAGAGGTCTGGGACGAGAACCCCATCTTCGTCGAGATCCCTCAGGAGCTCCTGGATCCCAAAGACTGGCAGCTCGACTTTGCAGCTCGTTTCCTGGAGGTCGAAAACATCATGGTACTCGAAGGCAGGGGCTCCGTGGCGGCCCTCAGGCACCAGCTCCGTTCTCTGGCGTCGTTCGGCCGTTCACGTCTTCATCTTGGGGATAATCCATCGCTCATTTTGGCTTCAGAGAAAGGCAGGTCCTCCGCCCCAGGTCTGTTAAGGATCTGCAGGCGTCTTCTCGCACTGACACTTGCTGCCGACGTTCGGGCGCACCATCGATGGCACCCGTCTGAGCTGAACGCGGCGGATGGCGGCTCGCGGCTCTGGGAGGGCGCTGACGCGCTCCTCTACGGTCCTGAGGCGCCTTGCTTCGTCCAGGGGCCCTGCCAAGCCGATCAGGTCGCGGCCCGTGTCGCCGGAGCGCGTGACAGACATCGTCGAGGTCGCATGCCCAGCTGGCTTGGGGGTGGCCCGCGCGATGGGGCTCGCTGCCGTCAGGACACAGTCGTGTCCGACGTACCGAGGCGCCCTGCGCAGGCTGGCCGCCCTGGGCCTCTTCCTGGGTGTACTGGTGATCTTGCTGGAGTCCGCCGACCTCGCGATGGCCGAGCTGGCGCAGGAGATGTGCACCGACGGCGACGACCACTCCGCGGGGCGGGTGCGCTACGCGGCCTGGCTGGTGACTGTCCCGTCGGCGGGCAGAGGGGGTGCTCCGCTGCCCCGTGCGCCGCGGGCCCTCCTGGCCTGGTCGGGCCTGGAGGCGGCGCTCGCTTTGTCACTGGTGTCCTGGCTGGGCGCGGTCGCGGTGGCGCAGGTGATGCTGGACTGGGGCGACGCGCTGGCGGCCTCGCTGGTGGCGCTGCTCCTCACGTGCTACCGGAGGCCCTCGGAGGAGCTGCCTCCTGAGGCGGCGTACGCGATGACGCCGCTGTTCCCGATCTCGTTCTGCATCGCTCTGAATCATCACCCCGAGGAGAGAGGCCAAGCGTCGAGGCTCTACATCGACCAGGCGCTGCGGATCGCGTGGGAGCTGGCGACCAGCCAGGGGATCCTGGTGTTCCCGATGGTCCCGCTCGCAGCGCTGTTCAGGTCCGCCCAGCTGCGCCTCGGGATGACGAAGCAGCATATCTTGCCCATGAGGAGGCACGGCTGGCCGTTGGTCGACAGGAAGGAGAATGTGAAGACACCGCGGGAGGTGAAGCGGCGCGGCCGCTGGTGTGCCGACGCCGCGAGGAGACGTCGAAAGGCAGCGGCCCGGCTGCCCCGAGAAGATGCCTTGCTGCCGCGGGCCGTGACGACGGTGGCTCGAGGTGCCCTGCAGCCGCCGCCGGGCGCCCTTACGGCGTCGTTGAGCCGCCGCCTGTGATCCGCAGGAGGCGCGGCTATTGCATCGAGGTCTTTGCGGGCTGCCGTCGCCTCTCGCTCGAGCTGGCCCGCATAGGCTATCGCGTTTATACTTCTGACATTGCGCAATCGGCCAATCAGGATATCCTCAGACCAGAGGCCTGGGCGGCCCTCCTTGAGCTCGCGGTCTCACCTGCCTGCCGTCTCGTCTGGCTAGGGGCCCCCTGCACCTCCTGGCCCAGAGCTCGGAGAGGGGGGGCGGGGCCCGCCCCCCTCCGAGATTCGGGGCCAGGGCTGCTTGGCATCCCTGGCCTCTGCGACAAGGATTTGGCAAAAGTCCGCCTAGGCAACGCGTTGATGCGCGCCTCGGCCGCCCTGGCTCGTGCCTGCATCCCGGCGAAGGTGCGCGTCGTCATTGAGAACCCTTTCACCTTTAGAATTTGGCCGACCCGTCCCCTCATCGCACTCAAGCGCCTCGGGCCCGAAATGTATACATCTAGCTTTTGCCAGTGCGGGACGCCGTGGCAGAAAAACACGTCCCTGCTGGCTTTTGGTTGTCCTGAGCTCTC